GGCCATTATCATCATCTGACTCCACGGCTAGATTTGGAATGTCAGGAAGGTCCAACACAGGGAGAAGAAAGTTCAAATCATCTCGAGAATCTTGCTCCTTTCCATAATAATTCATGTGCTCGAGAAAGGCCACATGACAAGAGACTCGGATACGCCTATTAACCACATCATAGCAAACACATCCTTTATGTTTGTCACTATAGCCAACAAACACACACTTAACAGCCTTAGGAGCAAGCTTATGACGCTCACGACGGGGCAACAGAACATAGCAAACACAGCCAAACACCTTCAACCAACCATAGTTTGGACGCTTAGCATACAAGACCTCATATGGACAACAATGTGACAAAACAAGAGTAGGCTGCCGATTAATTAGATAGACAATTATGTGAATTGCCTCGACCCAAAAACTCGAAGGGACACCTGAGTGAAAAAGAATCGCCCGAGTGAGCTCAAGAACGTGCCGATGTCGCCGTTCAACCAGTCCATTCTGTTGTGATACCTCAGGACAGGACTGCTGAGGTAGAATTTTGCGAGCTTTAAAAAGAGCAAGTAGGGGACCAGAAGTAAACTCACCACCCGGATCAGAACGGATTATCTTAAACTGTCGCCCAAACTAAGTATGAACCATCTGCAGAAACTCGGTAGCTACTGCGAGTAAGTCTGATTTCTGATGAAGAAAATAAATCCAGGCAAAATGCGTGTTATGATCAATGAACAATGCAAAGTACCGATACCCCATACGCGACGTAATAGGTGAAGGTCCCCACAAATCTGTATGCACTAAGTCGAAGGGTTCAGAATACACCGTAGTACTAGAACTGAATGACTGTTGAGATAACTTTGCTTCCACACAATGCACACAAGAACTACAACAATCCGAAGAATAAGATCCAGATAATAGCTTGTTCTTAAACATCTCAATCAAGCGAGCAGAATGGGGATGACCCAATCTATAGTGCCATAAATCCCAGTTCGCCAATTTAAAAGAAAACCCAACTGACTGAACTGAATGCAAAAAATCACTACTATCAACTTTCCTAGTAGGCGCCGACTCCACCCCTCCCGAATCCGAGTTGCAGGTGACCTCTTCCCCTGAACAGACTTCAGGTAACTGCGAGGCTCCAGACTCCTCCTCCAGCTGATCCAAGGTGTACACTCTACCACGCTTACTCCCGTGGCCTATCTCCGTCCCCGTTCTCCTGTCCTATATCACGCAACCATGTGCATAAAAAATGACTCGACATCGGTTTTCGGCCAATTTTTCCACTGACACAAGATTGGGAACCAATGTTGGAACATAAAGAGTATCCCGGAGATTTAAATTTGAGCTACAAATAGTGCCAACTCCATGAGCCGGTAAAAAAGCTCCATCGGCAACCTGGAGCTTAACAGAACTACTCGGCCGAAGAGTACTAAACGAAGATCGAGTGATGGTCATATGATTAAAAGCTGCGGAATCGAGAAGCCAAGTACAAGAGGGAAGAGAAGGCATACCAGCTGTGAACACGGACCCTAACGCGGATGGGAAAATATCCCGGACAGCTTCATGTAACATGTGACGGATAGTTTCATGAGTGATTCCCAAGCGAGAAGATGCAGGTGCGACGGCAAATCCAGCTGGAGCCTAGGCCGGATGACCAAAAAGGAAGCACCAGACGACATCGAGCGAGAAGAGGAACCAGGACCACCATGACCTCGCTCTCGATGAGCTAGGATATGACGAATTGCATTTTGGACAATGGAGTTGAACATGGCTCGGCTTCCGGCAGAATAACAAATCACTTCACTGACAGAGGAGCGTTGGAACTTTGGTCGCTTGGGGCGAATCGCAAATGCCTGCTGCGAAATCGAAGGATCGGCCAAAGCAAAGGCAGTCGTAGAATCCTCTCCATGAAGATCCAACTTAGCTTGACTCCGTAAACGAGTCTCCTCGCGAATTAACTCTCCCAAAATATCCTCGAGTTTTGTAACATTACGATGCAGCAGAGAGGATCGGATACCCTCAAACTCGGGCCTGAGTTTCATCAAAAAAATGCATCGTACGAGAGCTAGTGCACTCCTGAAGCACTTCAGCAGAGGCAGCACTGGAGATGAGAGAAGACGTCAACAAGTCGTGTTCCATCCATAAACTGGCAGCAGCTTGAAAATAAGACCTGACGTCCATATCCCCCTGATATAACTGAGCAAGCTCAACCTCCAACTCGAACTTCCTAGACGCGCTGGTATGGGAATGTAGCTCAGTTAAATGCCGCCACATGGCATGGGCAGAATTGAACCCACGTAAACTTAACGCAATGGTCGGGTCCATAGAGCTCAGGATCCAGTTTGTGACCTGAGCATTATGAATCGCCCACTCATCCCGCACCTTAGCCTCAATAGTAGCAGTGGGCTCGGGCTGAGTCCCGTTAAGAATAGAAAGCAACCTCCGACCCTAAACAAAAACCCTAAACTGAAATTCCCAAAGTGGGAAATTCTTTCCATCGAAGCGCACGAAAACCCCATCAAGCCTTGACGAATCCATAATTCCACGAATGCAGAACTAAACCCACAAAAGTAATAAGCAAAAGACTACTGAACCGGCTGCGCTACCTGCTTCACTGGGATGAAACTGGACCTCCCTACTGCGCTGGAATAATCCTAAGCCAGAGACAAGCCCACAAACAGAAAAAAAAAAGATCCAAAATAGAAGGAGGCACCAATGCAGCGTGAGACCAAAAACCGAAGAAGGAAGAGGCGACGTAGCTGAACCAACGCAGCCGACCCAAAATCCAGAAACCTGAACAGCTGAAAACAAGGAAGCAAACGAGCCGAAGACCTCCTGAATCACACCTGAAGCTATGATACCATGAAAACCAAGACAAAACCAAAAGAACACAGCGGATTAACGTGGTATCCACAATGAGTATCGTTGAGACTAATCCACAGAGAGGAAAAACCTCTCAGAGTCTATCGTATAATCTTAGCCCAAAGAATTCTTAGGTTACACGAATGAGGGCTATCAACATATATACACTGCCTTCTAACCCTATCAAAGGCATGAACGTAATTAAACCTAAAAGGACTAATTACACTTTGCTACCTACACTTCTAACAGATTCAAACCCTAATATATATTTTTCGTTTGCTTTAACCGGGCATCATGAGATGACCGAGGGAGGTGGGCCTTGGAGTCCCAGCTCAAAAAAACTAGAGAAAGTCAACCGAATCGAAGGATTGTACGCAGGTGGAGCCTCTCTGATGTTGCAGGCGGCAGCAGGGGAGAAGAAACGTCGGTCGGGTCGAGCTAAATGGTTTGAATGGCTGGATGGTTTAGCGGGTTGGGCTGAATGGGATGGCCTCTTTCAGTGTTGGGCTTGGGGGCCTCTTTCTATATTTTTTTTGTTGTTCATGCCAACTTGTTTTTGTCATGGAATGGGTTGGAAGTTAGCTTACCGATTTGTGTATTTTGTTTGAGAGCATCGAAAAAGTGTATATATTATCGATCGAGAAGAAGATCCTTGAGACTCGTTAGGATCAGCGGACACAGCAGAGAGACAGGGACCTAGGCCTCCGTTTCTGGCGCCGACCCCTCCTCGGAGCTAGGTTTCGGTTTCTGGTTCAGGGAGTTGCTCTGACGGCAGAGTTACGATCATTTCTAGACATGAGATTGGAAGATCCATATAATCTAGTGATGAAAAAAAACACCGAGTGCTGATTGATTCACGCTAGAGTTAAATAAAAAGTGGTGGGGCCCTATTAAGCAAGATCGAGTGAATGCCTTTAAAGAGTTTTAGGACACTGTTCCCCCTTCGTTTATTTGTTTGACACCAAAGAAACATATCATTTAGGAAATAAAAGATTTTACACATTTTTATTTATTTAAAAGATGTTCCGAAAAAAAATTCCAACATACTCTTTGTTAGTAGAACGGTGTTAATCGTGCCTGGAATCATCTCTCAAAACTAGCAAGCTACGATTCAAGGAAGACATATTTGGGAGGCCACTTTGATTGCCAATGAATTACTGGACAAGGTGAGAAAGATTAAAAAGATGGGTCTTATGTTCAAACTCGACATTGAGAATGTTGTTAACAATGTTAGTTGGGGATGTCATTCAAGGTTTTGGAGTGTTTGGGATTTTTCAGTATAATGGCGGCAGTGGATCAAAGGTTCTATATGGTCTTCGATTATTTCGATCTTGGTCAATGGTGGTCGGTGGAGAATAATGGTCCTTTCGAACACAAAAGGGAGTGCGTAAAGAATGCTCTTTATTTTCTGAATTATTTGTGTTGGTGATAGATGTTCCCTCTCACATGCTTGCCAAGTAGAGAGAGGATGGAAGTATCTATGGCTTTAACATGGGCAAGGATCAATAAAGGGGAGATGTAACCTTTCGCGGACGACTAATAACACTCAAATTATAATGTTTATTATACTAATATTTGATATATTTTCCCCTTTCTGTCAATGCATATTTAGTAAGATTTTGTGCCTAAATCTCAAGTATTTGATCATTGTGTGTTATATAGACCTAGATTATGTTTTATTATCATTTTATGCCTTTTTGGTATGTTGCTGTGCATGTGAGGAAAAACATAAACAATGAAAATTTGGATCAAGCATTGAAGGACTTTTAGAGGACAAAGGAGCTAGAAAAAAGAAGTATATGCTAGGCAGAGTGATACTTGGTGGCGCAAACTCATTAAGGTAAATATCCAACTAGGGTTTCACAATGGAAGTCTGAATGCCCTAATGGAGGTTTTGTATGGCGGAATTCAATCTTCTGCAGCAGATGGGGTACGAGCAATTAGGGCGTAATAAGATAATGGAGCAGCTGAAGATGTTGATGTTCCTAGTCACGACGGTGATGGCGTTGGTCATCAGCTGCATCACGCGATCGGTGGTGGCTGGGTATTGATCTTCACTGGCGGAATGGGTCTGACCATATTCATCTTAGACCGCCAATTGGACCCGGAAGAGGAACCCCTCCTCAGGGAGGAAGAGGAGCTGGTGCTGATGGACTGGCAAGGACTTAAATTGGAGGAGCCGCTGATGGAGCTACTGGTTGTGACACCGTCGGTGATGGCATTGGTCATGTTCTGCTTGACAGGGTTGTTACTGATGATGATATTGGGTTTCGCCAGCACAGTGGTTGTCATAAGCATCGGGCTAAGTCCTTACTGGCCTTGCTTCAATCGCCACCATCTCGCTCTCGCTGAGAAGCATCCTCCTCTGGTTGTTGCTTGCTAAGAAGAAATAGGATGATAGTGGATAGGTTTTAATTAATTTTTCAATGTTTCTGTTTGTAGTATTGCTCAGTCTGTCTAGTCTGACTTGGAATTATATTAACTTATTATTTGCTGCAAAAACCTCAGAGCAAAGTTTGGATTAATCCTCAAACAGGAGGTGCTGCCCCGATGGGGGAGAATTTGAAAGAGAAGGGTCAAGAGAAGGAACAAGCTGTGACTACGGATGCTACACCAGGTGTTGCAAAGCTGGGGCTGTCAGCTCAGAATACTGAGGCGAACTTTGATGATCTTGTGCGTGGAGGAAGACAGGAGAGGCATGGTCAAGGTTCGGTTCCTTGGAAGAAGGATGGACGAGTTCATGAATATGGAGGAAGTCGTGGATATGGGAGAGGGCCGCTTCAGCGGTACAATACAGTTCAAGGCTCGGGTGCTGGATACAAGGGGAGGAGTGGACAAAACTATTATGGTGGTTATGGTCGTGGGTACCAGATGTCTAATAGAGAAAGGAATCAAGCTGGTCAATCTGCAGAGATGCGTTATGAACAGATGGACCAGGGTACTTGGAAGAAAGGAACTGGTTCAAGAAAAGAGTATGTATCTTCTGCTGGCGCTATGTCTAAAGTACAGGAAAGGGGGGCTCAAAGGCGGTTGATGACAAGATGGAGAAGGGGCTGCCGGATCGGGTGAAGGATAAAGGCAAAGGTAATGTTGTGTTCCACATGAAGGCTCCGGAAGCAACGGAGGCTGATGAACGTAAGAGGCTAGCTGAACAGGTGGAGGGATTACAATTTGATTCAACGCCTGTCAAATGGCGTGTACAGAGGAAAAGGAAGATGGTGAGGAGTCTACTACAGCGGTGGAGGAAACCAGTCGTAATTGGTCCCAAACAGCCAAATGAGGATTCTTGTGTGGAACGTAACTTACGTAAGGGGTATAGGGCCTTCCCTTACGTTTTAGTCTTTGTTAGGCCTGTGTAGGGTCAATAAGCCAGATATTGTTTTCCTATCGGAGACAAAATCGTGTAGGCGCATAGTTACTCGTCGTATGCGGGGTTTGGGTTTTCATAATTTTTTTCTTGTCGATGCTGTGAATGCATCAGGGGTTTAGCTTTGGGTTGAGAAGATGGTGTCGATGTCACTGTGTTGGCTGATTGTTCCTTTTTTGTTTCAGTTGGAGTTGGAAATACAAATGGTAATTTTGAGTATGTGGTGGTATGTGTTTATTTGTCTAGTAATGTGAATGTGCGCGCACAGCAGCTGCAATCTTTGACATTGTATTGTAGTCAAATCCAGGAGCCTTTTATCATCATTGGGGATTTGAATTTCACTCTTGCGTCATCGGAGAAAGCCGGGGGTGCTTTATGGGAACCTAATGCTTCGATGAGTGTTCGGAATATGATGAATGATTTGGCATTGCAGGATGCAGGGTTTTCAGTGGGCTTCATTTACATGGTCGAATAGACGTATGGGGTCGACCTTGATACGAGAAAGGCTAGATCGGGTTCTTGCATCCTCAGGGTTGATGGATCGGTTTCCGCAGACGATAGTCCAACACTGTACTGATCTTGGTTCGGATCATCGAGCGCTTGTCTTGGCGGAGAAGCCGTTTCACAGAACATCGAAACCCTTATTTCGATTTGATCCGTGATGGGTTGATAACCCAGAGATCCGGCTCTTGGTCCGGTATGCTTGGAATCAAGCGGTGGAGGGATCGGTAGTGTTCCAATTATGGCGGAGATTGAAAGTTGTGAGACACCTATTGTATGATTGGAATTCTGCAGGAACGAATAATTCAGCTAGGAATATTAGAGTCCTGCAGACCGAGATAGAAGCTCTGAAAGGAGAAGAGGAAACGAATTGGCACCGAATAGGAGAGTTGGAGAGGGAGTTGTCGAAGCAATGGGCAGCGGAGGAGATGTTTTGGCGATATAAGTCGCGGGTCGGCTGGCTGCGTGAGGGGGATCAAACAGTTCATATTTTCAACTGTTACTCATGCACAGAGGAGGCGAAATTTTATTGATGGCTTGTATGATAAAAATGGGCTATGGGTCACGTTGGAGGAAGATAAACGTGCAGTGGCTGGGGGTTTCTATGAGGAATTGTTTGCTACGGAAAATCGGGTTCCGAATATGGCTGAACTGGTGGATGAGTTACCAATTCCGGGGTTGGTTTCTCAAGAGATTAACGCAGTCTTGGTGATGGAGGTGCAACCAGAAGAGATACATCAGATGGTGTTCTCAATAGGACCTACCTAGGCTCCGGGGCCAGACGGGTTTGCAGGGAAGTTTTTTTCGAGCGTACTGGGACATAGTGGGGCCCGATGTAGTTGAAGCAGTTCAGTCTTTTTTCCGTTCAGAGAAAATATTGAAAAGCTTTAGCCATACTTGGTTAACTTTGGTTCCTAAGGTAGATGCGGTGGAGAATATGAGACAAATACGACCGATCCGTCTCTGTCAGGTATTTTATAAAATTATCTCCAAGATAATGGCAGAACGAATGGCTGCTAATTTTTCCATGCTTATCTCTCCAGAGCAAAATGGGTTCATTCGGGAACGTCAGATTGTAGATAATGTGCTTATTAGTCATGAAATTATGCATTACCTGAAAGTCAAGAAGCGGGGCAAAAAGGGTTATCTAGCTCTCGAGGTAGATATGGAAAAAGCCTATGACAGGGTAGAATGGCCCTTTTTGTTCGCAGTTATGGCTAAGATGGGTTTCTGTTAGAGATGGATTGAGTGGATTAAAGAATGCGTCTCCACAGCCTCTTTCTCAGTTTTGATGAACGGTACGTCAGCGGGATATTTTTGCTCGACTAGAGGGCTCCGTCAAGGTGATCCGCTATCCCCACTGTTGTTTGTGTTGTGTTCGGAAGGTTTTGCGACGCTTTTGAGAAAGGCAGTTCAGGAGAGGCGTTTGGCAGAGGTTAAAGTTAGTACGAGAAGTCCAAGTGTGTCCCACCTATTTTTTGCAGATGATTCGTATCTCTTTTTGAGAGCGTCAACAGGTGAATGTCTAAATTTACTAGCAGTGTTGCAGGAGTATCAGACTTTGAGTGGGCAGAAGGTGAATTTAGCAAAATCGGCAGTGTGTTTTAATGGTAATGTAGAGGAGCCGCAGAAACAGGAAATGGCTCGTTTGTTGGGAGTAGGAGCGGTGGGTGTTCAAGACAAGTATTTGGGATTGTCGTCTCTAGTACATCGTTCCAAAACTGAAACTTTTAGATTCTTAGAGGAGAAATTGTTGTCAAAGTTGCAGGGATGGAAGTAAAAACATTTGTCCTGGGCTGTGAATGAAGTTCTTCTGAAGGCGGTAGCGACGACATTACCTATTCATGTAATGGCGTGTTTCTTGTTACCAAAAAACACTCTGCCGGAAACTAGACAAGCATATGGCACGATTTTGGTGGGGGTATACCGCGAAAGGAAACAAAGTGCATTGGGTTTCTTGGAGGAATCTATGTCGTAGCAAACACGATGGTGGACTTGATTTTAGACGATTTGAGCTCTTTAATCAAGCTCTTCTGACAAAAGTTGCTTGGCGAATATGGAATGATCCAGAGTCTTTGTTGACCCGCGTTTTAAAAGGGAAATATTTCCTCAGGGTGGATTTCTTGGAAGCAACCCGGCAGTCGAGACCATCTTGGGGTTGGGTGGGGATTTTGCATGGTCGGGAGTTACTAATGGAAGGGTTGCGATGGCAGGTAGGTGATGGTGCGACGGTGGGTGTTATGGAGGATAGGTGGATACCTGGGGTAGGGAGTGGTGCGGACGTGCTGCTGCCGACGGCAGTAATTCACCCATGTTAAACTGTGGATGGTTTGATGGATTCGGATACAGGGAGGTGGTGTGATGTCTGTTTAGACACTTGTTTCCCGGCGGACGCGGCTGCTTCTATTCGCAGTGATATGGGAGTGGGAACATTCGGGGCTATACTCGATAAAAACTGGCTATCATTTAGCCTTGCAATTGAGTCTCCGACGACCTGGATGGAGGGAGGAAGTATCCTTTTTCGATAGGACGTTTTGAAAAAAGGTTTGGGATTTTTCTATTCCCCCAAAGCTTAAGTTTTTTGTATGGCAGGTGATGCGGCGTATTCTACCTACTGCTGAGGCCATTATTGAGAAGGGAGGACGTTGTCAGTCACGGTGCTCGGTTTGTTGGGAACCTCTAGAAACAATGGAACATATGTTCCTGTTTTGCAGGGTGGCGAGAGGTTTGTGGGCTAGGGTGGGATTGAATATGGGCGGTAATGAGAAAGTAAACGTAAATTTTGTATTGTTCTTTAGGAGGTATATAGAGCGTGATGCGAGCCCTGAGTGGGTTTTCCGTTTTGTTGCATTGTTGTGGCGAATATGGAAGTCACGGAATTGGGTGACGTTTGATCATTTTCAGTATACTGAGGATGTTTTACTGCAGCAGTATAATGCCTAGGTATATGAGTGGTTGGCGTTGCCCAGGCCTGTAGCAATGTCGGGTCCAGCTGTTATTCGTACTGCAGCGCCGTCCAATGGTGGTGGCTCGGGGCTCAAGTGTTTCGTGGACGGATCTCTTCGGCGGGGATCTCATGCGGCGGGAGGCGCAGTTGTACAAGATGCGGCAGGTACGGTTGTTTTTGCTAAAGGTTTTCGTTATGCAGGTTTGCGGGATCCTTGGGTGGTAGAATTAGTTGCGCTGTGCTATGCGATGATGCAAAGGGAATGCTTGATAGGATGAAGGAGAATGAGATTCATGATGTTCGTGGAGGTGCGATATTGGAGGAAATTAAGCAGCTTCGACAACAATTCAGGGTATTTGATGTGCGGTTCGTTGGCAGGCGAAGCAATCGGGTGACCCATCTGGTGGCTAAGAAGACCCTTACTTTGTTACCTGCAAGTGTTGATACTTTTGATTTTCGACTTTGGTTTGTTAATATGGTGTAAACTTTTGTTATCTTTTCGTCTTGGTAATACGAGTGAGCTATTGGAAAAAAAAGGGTTAAGAATTAGCTATTAGTACTCAACTTGTATGATTTTCATGCCTGCCTGTACAGAATTAGCGAAGGTTAATTTTCAGAAGGTAGCTGGTTTTATATCCTCTCTCTTTCGCTTTCGCTTTCTGATATATGGTTTCTTCGTCTTCTCTTTTGATTCTTTTGCTACTGCTCTGTTCTATGTTTGTTTGCTTGTTTCATAGTGGATTTTAGGGGTGCGCATCGATGCGTTCCAAACCACACCGCACCATTTTGACTTGGAATTATATTAACTTATGAGACTTACTGTTGTTCAATTTTATTTTTGCTTAATTGTTATTTTTACTTTATGAATAATTAGGGGTAGATTGGTCTTATTTGGCATGTTAGACCGTGGTTTGACCAAATTTAATGGTTATTGGATGGAAAATGTAACAGAGTGGTATGTTTGAGAATTTGTCATAGTAGAAGGGTAATATGAATCATAATAGGGGGGCAAGTTTGAAAAAAATACATAATATAAGGGCAAAATATGCTATTAACCCTAAAAAATTTGAAAAACTACATGTTGGAGGGTGATAGCTATTGGGAAGAATGGGGTGTGGGTGGGGGGGGGGGAATGAAAGTGAAGTTTCGTTTAGTTTTTATTACTTCAAACGGTCGAAACCATCCACCAACCGCGTCAAAGCCGCGTGTTACACGATCACAAGGACGACCTCCCTTCTACACGAGCGTGCAACTCCTTCCCCTGCTTCCAACATGTCTGCAAGGTCTCCTGGATTGTCCCGACTGGTCTAACTCTACTTGTCTTTTGTGTGATAGACTAAATACTCAAATACTTCAAATTTGGCTCTTTGGCAACAATCATTGGAGGATTGGGTTGACTGCTATACTCTTGCTTGATAGCACCCTTTGTAAGAGATAAAAAGGCCTAACAAATCTTTTCTCAATAAATCGAGTTATTGGAACCAAGTAGTTAGTTCGCTAACACCCGGAGATGGTCTTAGTTCAATTGTTAGTGGTTAGTGGGTAAGCTTTGCATAATAGAATAGAAAGGCTTAAAAATCTTAACCCACATTCCTGTAGGGCCGGAGGACAATTATTTAATAGGAAGTGGCCACAAGGACTTAGGCTACTATATGGATCCTCCCGTCACCTAGTGGGCTCACGTGTATATTCCCAGGCCCACTTTAATTTGTTCGTCCCTGCTTCACTAGCTGTTAATCGAAATTTGTGGGTGAGATTCGAGTATTTCTCCGGCCTAATTGCAATTACAAGTTTAATTAAGAAAAAGAGCTAGCCGCCAAGATCTTGACGCAAATTTGACGGAACACGTTAGCGGCGGCGCTCCATCAGCAGCCACAAACCCACGCACACATGCACTTAACTTTCTTTCTTACTTTCAGTTCCGCCTCCCCTACACAAACCCGCACACCAGAAACCGAGCCATAGCGGTGGGCAGTTGCGGTGGCTGGCTTTCCTTCTTCTATTATCTTCCTCTATAATCAGGAAGCCGGCTCACCGCCAGTTGGCCGCCGTCAATTTCCCCGGCCCGTCAAGCGCAAGAAATACGGAGATGGGTTGCTCCTCTTCGATTCCCCGACTGCTCTTTCTGTTGCTCTCTCTCACGCTTTCCCCTGCTTATCTTGTCGACGTATATGGTATATCTCATTGCTGTGGTTCTTGCGTCAATTGACGGCGATCGTGTTCACCGATGGTAATCGCTAACGGGTTTGGTTTCTTTTGGTTACCGGCCAGCTGGGAGCGAAGATATTGTTGGCGGCGGGAGTACCCATTTGTACGGCGAGATATTGAAGGATGAGGCCGTAGCGAGGCTCCGTGAACTTGGAGAGGTTAGTATTGATCGTTTTATTAGAACATTTCTCATAAGCCAGAGTCGGCCTTGGATCATGTATTTGGTTGCTCTGCCTTTTTAAGCATAAAATTGATTTCTTTATAGATGTTTTGATGTTGGTTTTCTGCTTGGACATTGGGAATCTTTGATAGGGGAAATGTGTACATGATATATGAATGGCTGCTATTTTCTGTGATTGTGAAGGTCAGCGACGCGAATGGATATCTTGAGAGGACATTCATGAGCCCAGCCTCTGTAAGGGCAGCAAATCTCATACGTCAATGGATGGAGGATGCCGGTTTGACCACGTTGGTTTCCTTCCTCTTAAGAACCTTGAGATGTGTGATATGTACTATTGGCTGATGATGAATAAAGATGTTGATAACAGGTGGATCGACGCGATGGGGAACGTACATGGTCGAGTCGATGGATCTATTCGAGGTGCAGAGGCCCTATTGATTGGTTCCCATTTGGTGAGGTCCTTTGGCCCTGTCTCTTGTAGTCCAATGTCTGATGATCTTCGACTGCTATGGTTGTGTGGGTGAACATACAAGACTGATGGTTTTCTATATTTCACATAGGATACCGTCATTGATGCAGGAATATTTGATGGGTCACTAGGTATCATCTCGGCCATATCAGCTTTGAAGGTTTTGAAAGAAACTGCAAGGTTGGAGAAACTAAAACGGCCAGTTGAGGTTAGCTTAGTCAGACCCACTTCTCACTTGTTTTCTAACTTTCAATCAATGCAAGCTTCAGATTTCATCATAGGGCTCTATAATCAAATTAGCACTTAAGTTCTGTTTGTGTTCTGATTCTTGTAGATCATTGCCTTCAGTGATGAGGAGGGAGTGAGGTTTCAGTCTACTTTTCTTGGCAGTGCTGCTCTAGCGGGTGTCCTTCCAGCTTCAGCTTTGAACACAACTGACAAAAGGTCTCATTGGGCAACTGTTCATATTGATTTCGAAGTACTAAAGATCCTTTTTCCCTGTTTTGGTTTGTATTCACGAGTCAATCCTTGTATCAGCGGTGCAACATTGCAAGATGCTCTTAAGAAGAACCGTTTTGCAATTACAGAAGAAAGCCTACGACAACTCAAGTATGATCCGCAGTCTGTCTGGGGTTATGTTGAGGTAAACAAGTACTTCAACTGCGTCTTTAAGATCAGTGAATTTCCTTTTAGACTCAGCTGTTGACATCCATGCTATGTTTCCAGGTCCATATTGAACAAGGACCAGTCCTGGAATGGGTTGGATTTCCACTTGGTGTTGTGGAGGGCATAGCTGGGCAGACAAGGCTAAAGGTAACAAACCTGTTTAGACCGTCTCTCAAGTCTTGATTAACTTTCACTTAGGTCAGTAAAAACGCGATCAAGGACACTCGATATTTTGCAGATCACTGTGAGTGGCTCACAGGGACATGCTGGAACAGTTCCCATGTCCATGCGTCAAGACCCCATGGCTGCTGCTGCCGAACTAATTCTGCGGATGGAAACTATTTGCAAGAATCCTAAGCAATTTCTATCCTATGACAGTCAGTGCAATGATGCAACTGTGGAATCACTTTCCAATTCCCTGGTTTGTACTGTTGGCGAGATTTCCACTTGGCCAAGTGCAAGCAACGTCATTCCAGGCCAGGTAAGCTTTTCTTTATTATGACAAAGAATTCCACTGTCGATAGCATGCAATGTATGGTATGTACAACAACAATCCATCACATCACCTTTTGGGCCTAAAAATGCTGTCTTCATGTCCAAAGGTAACTTTCACTGTGGATTTGCGTGCAATGGATGACATGGGTCGTGAAGCCATTCTGTATGAATTATCTAATCAGATATATCAAATATGTGACACACGATCAGTCTCCTGCAATATTGATCGTAAGGTGAGAGTTGAGTTGAGTGCTTATGTCTTCAATAGTACCCTTATAAAGCTTTTGGCCAGGAGCAGAACTGCAAGCTAGATTGAACGCCTGCTGGTTTTTGTTATAGCATGATGCGAATGCAGTGCTATGCGATTCAGAGTTAAGTTCGCAGCTGAAGATTGCAGCCAATGCTGCAATCCAGAGATTGACAGGCGAGATCCAAGATGAAGTTCCTGTCTTGATGAGTGGTGCTGGGCATGATGCAATGGCTATGGCTCATCTAACCAAGGTAAGGGTTTATCATCTTCATCCATCTTCCTCTATTTACTTGAGGTACTCAGCCGCTATGTGTGACAATGGAATAGGTCGGAATGCTCTTCGTACGCTGCCGTGGAGGAGTTAGTCACTCACCTGCAGAGCATGTGCTGGATGATGATGTCTGGGCTGCTGGTTTGGCCATGCTTGCATTTCTCGAAACTCATATGTAAATAAGAAATTTGTGTACAGAATAACAAGGAAAGAAATTGTAATATAACTGCAATCTGTCAGTTTTTCATTACAACTCAATTCTGAGCCAGTTCAAGGTATCACTATCATCAATTCATCATACCCAAGGTCACTGAAATTGGGAGAATCTTTGTCCAACTCCTTTCTGCAATATTTTGACTAACATAGCAAAAACCTGAAAATCAGACTACTCATGAACAAATAAACGGCAAGCAAAGGCTGCAATTGAGATTCCTAATAAGATACAGGTCATCACTTAAACTAGTTTAGAACAGATGCACTTCCTCCTCGACCCGAAACGGGACAGGTCTATCTACTGTTGTTATAAGTCCAAGCTCTACGGCACAACTGAAACTTACATGTAAACAACAGAGGATTGATGGCCCAACTGCTGTAGCTGGTGAACAACATGAGACATTTAGGCCGCATGGATGGTACATGTTGAGTACAAGCATACACGAGGTCAACAACCTTCTGAATGGTACCAGCTTCCGGAACTTCCGACGAAGAAGATAGAAACACATGCGGATCTAAGAGCTCAGGGTAGAGGTTCGCCTGTACTAAAGGCGTGGCCCATTCAAATATGCTTTGCCAACCCACTGAATCGACAGCCTGTGCAGGCCGACGCCCTGTGACTATTTCCAGCAGTAGCACCCCGAAACTGTAGACATCACTCTTGCTTGTGAGCTCGTTCTGGTAGACAAACTCTGGAGCGAGATACCCATGTGTGCCACCAGCCATCACTGTTCTCTCTTGCATTCCTTCCCACGGAACAAACTTTGACAGACCGACTCCCATTAGGTGGGCACCAAAGTCCTCGTCGAGCAGCACATTACTAGCACGGATGTCTCTGTGCACAACATGTGGCTTCACCTTGTCGTGCAAAAACCTAATTGATATAAAATAGAATGAAAGGTTAAACTAGCGAATAAAACATGCTAGGCCATGCCTGGTAAACTTTGGAAAGACCGAGGTCATAGGGGCAAGCTAATAGCAAGCTTCTAGGCAATTTCCCCTGGTGGTGCCTAGTGCCTCTAGTTGATCAAATAACAAACCTCACAATCAAATATGCTCCAACTTCTAACATCACACTTTCAGAATTCTACTAGTATCAATACCCGCGGCTACGCCGCAGGAGATATATAAGTGTTTAGTACATCTATAAGCAATAGGCTTTGTCTAAAAAAAGCAGTATATTGATAACCAAAATAATTAAAAATTATATACAGAAAGCAAGTATCATATATAGTTTGTGAAAAACTTAGACATTCTTGTTATGCAAGACAACTTACAATCATAATGATTATCTACAAAACATATGTCTAAACAATACAGGGTACCATATATGTTTTGGTACAGACTCAATAGAACATGTTTAATTTTTTTATTTAAGATGGAACTCAAACTATATACTACTCTACTGAAAATAGTAGGATAAAGAGAGCAATGAACAATACACGTTTGAGCAGCAGAAGAGTCATGTACAATACACATTTGCAAGCTGCCAACCAAGTTAGATATTCATGAGAAGCAATAGACTTTGTTGATTCCCTTGCTTGAAATGATGTCCCAATATAGTTAGAGAGGAATATCACCATTGCTTCATAGCAACTACAATGAGATGTCAAGGTGATATCTGCGAGCAGGCTAAATAGAAAAGCTGGCAAAAGAACTGAACATTAGACATCAACAACAACAACATTATATTCAAAGGCATCTATTCAGTCCCAGCTCACCTAATTACATTCCGAATGAATTTTTTCTTTTTTGTAAAAGATAGGCTTTGAAACCATGAACCAACAGCTGAAGTGAGTCCCAGGCATTTGGCTTCTCTGTTATCAAGTCTGTTTTTTTATGGTCAAATACTTGGTTCCTTTATATTATGGGTTCCTTTGATAGAAAGTTAAATGGCGTCCCAACCTGCTTAAAAGAAGCATGAAACTAAAACACACAATATTAGAACAGATTCAACTCATCACTGATACATAAGAGGCCCTTGCTTATCCCGGGGCTTGAAAAATGTAGACATTAGTGCATTCATAAATTTATGAACTCATAAGGCAAATTAAGCTAGCTAGATATGAACAGGCCATGCATCATCATTTAATGGTTACACAACTGAATCAAGTCGAGGAGAAAAGGAAAGTTATCAGTGGTTGGAGAAGGAACTGAAAAAGGAGAGAAGAACAACTGAAATAGACCTGAAACATCAATGAAGAAATGTTGCCAGTTAAAGTTTTTGTACCCACTTGGTCATTTCCGCCTTCCTTCATCTCTAACCTGTTACTTTTCTTTTCTTCCATTACTCATCAACCATATGAAGCAATCAAAGGCCTCATGAAGCGATCCTATCAAACACAAATATGAATAAGAATATAAGCATCTCTAGATCAGTAAACTCGGCTAACGTTTCAAGTACATGAAATAATGATAATCGCAATCTGCTTAATCCTCCCAAATGGCGATTGGGTTTTCCTGGTACCCGACGGACCGTAAAGCAGAACAAACTCTATTGTCGCTCTTCTGAACTGCAGGGCTCTCAGCATTACCCCTTTCCTCCCTTCCTTTCAATCGCAGACAATCAACAATGGTTGGTGCCGGTACGCGCAACCAAACTCATAAAAAATCCAAGGTAGAAGGAGAGAGAGCTAACCACAATAGCAATTCTTCTTCTTCGGGGAGCTACTACCGGTGCACGACACAGAGATGGCGGGTGAAGAAGATGATGGAGAGATCATTCGAGGACCCATCTGTAGTCGTCACGACCGACGGGTTTGGAGGAGGACAGGTCTGTCCACAACGTCGAGTGCTCGGAGAATCCATCGTGGCGAGCAAAAAAAGAATGGAATGGGGGGAAGAGATGAGTTGCGAATCGGCCCTCAAGGGCAGGGCCCTAATCGAGCTGACAATAGCGAGGGATGTACGATTCATGGGCGATGGCGTGTTTGGAAGAGGGTTCGCCAGTGGTGGTGTGTCAGCAACAACGACAACCTGGAAACACGGAAAAGGTGAGGGTGGTTAAAGGATTGCATGATTGTGAGAAGCGCTCCAGCTGCAGATTTATGAGTACGGTCGGCAAGGGAGGCATGGGCGTCTGCTACGAGTGGGAAAAAGGCAGAGTTTCGTCGATGTGTAGGGCTGCATAGAGAAGGATTTTTTTTTTTTTTTTTTTTTTTTTGACCAAAAGACATTGCTTTTCATTGCTTAATTGTCGCTCAGGGATTACAAGAGATGGGAAATGACATTAAGTACCTGCACCCATTGACTGGGCAGTACATTTTTTGCTCTAGACTTTGCCACCCAATTAGCTTTTACATTGTCCGCTCTTTTGATGTGGGATAAGTTGATCCAGGGGTGGTGATCGAGTATCTGTTTGATGCTTTCGATCCACGCTTTAGCACGCCACGGACTGCTAGCTTGGTTGTTCTGAACCGCCTTGATGAGGGTCAGGCAATCCGATCGGACTAAACACGGGGTGTTGAGTCTGGCTGCCATACGCGTTCCTTCCAGTAGTGCTCTTGCTTCCGCTTCGATAGGAGAAAAACAATGTAGTGGCTCAGCTATCCCGTCACAGACTTGTCCATGGGCATTCGTGATTACGACGCCATACGCCGCCTCCTGAGATGCTTCGTAGAAAGAACCATCACAGTGTATTTCAAGGTTATGAATACTTGGCGGTGGAGAAGGTTGCTCCGGGGGTGGGGTTAACTGAGTGGGAGGTGGAGATGAGAGTGGACCAGCGGGTCTTGCTCCCCAATGTTGAGCCTCCAGTGCAGCTCTAGAGACGGTAGACGGAGGCCATGGTACCTTGCCTCTGAAGATGGCCTCGTTCCTTGTCTTCCATGTCTGCCATAACATGAAGATGACTTGTTGTAAGGATGAGAGGAGATACCTGTCCTTGAGGGAAAACAGCCAGTCCAGAATAGGGGTGGAATGAGGTGGAATGACGAGAGAAGGCCATTTCAGCCTCCATCCCGCAGCCGCATGAGGGCAGAGGAAGAGAGTGTGATGGAGAGTCTCTGTCGAGTCTGTACACACAGGGCAAGCTTCCGTCACTGAACAGTGACGTGAGAATAGATTTTCCTTAGTAGCTAGGGCCCTTCTCGTACACTTCCAAACGAAGAATTTCAGTTTTGGAGGTAGGGAGAGGCTCCACAGCCATTTCCATCTTTCTTTGCTGGCTGGATCAGTTGACTGGTACCCCTGATCCCTTCTGATGGTATTGTGGATGGCATGGAAGGCTGACTTAACCGTGAAATCACCACTATCTGTGAACCTCCAAGCCCAAATATCCAGGAGAGATTCTGGTCCAATGGGTGTGGCTGCCACCTGTTGGAGGTCCACAGGGCTGAGGTAATATGCCAGAAGGTCGAATCGCCAGGCTCGGTTAATACCATCAATCCATCTGTCCACTGTGGAATCATCAGGCCAATCAAAGTCAAGTAATGGACCTGGTCTGTCAAACCTCCACGGATCTTGGAACATTTTTGTCGCTTTGCCATTGCCTATCACCCTAATGATTCCTTGTTTCATCCATTTCTTGGCCTCCCACAGGCTAGCCCAAATCCAGGATGCCTTGCCTCCTTTCTTGGCGGATAAGAAATCATTCTTGGGGAAGTAGATGCTTTTCAACACTCTCACCCACAGAGCTTCTGGGTTAGTGAGAACTCTCCAAGCCTGTTTTGCCAGCAGGGCCAGGTTAACCGTACTAAACGGTCTGAAGCTGAGTCCTCCTTCTTCTTTAGGCGCATAGAGAACATGGCTGGCACGCCAGTGAATAGTTTTCTTTGACATCTTACCACTCCAGAAGAAATTTTTGAGCATGGAGTCCATCCTCTTGGTCATTGATCGTGGTAGCAGGAAAAGGCACATAATAAACGATGGTACTGCTTGAAAGACTGCCTTGATAAGCACTTCTTTTCCTCCTGGGGAGAGGAGGAGGCTCTTCCATGATTCCCCTCTGGCTTCCATTCTTTTGAGGAGGAAATGGAAAGTTTCTTTCTTGGAGCGACCCCACTCTGTGGGAACCCCTAGGTACTTCGTGTGGCCTTGATCCGGAGTGAATCCCGTGGCAAGAAGGATACGGGCTTGTTCTGCCTGAGGGACATTAGCACTGAAAAACACTGAGGATTTATCCCTGTTCACCTCCTGACCTGTCAAAGAGCCATAATCATTAAGGATTCTCAGAATATGTTCTGCCTCACTTGGTGATGCTTTACCAAAGACAACAGTGTCATCTGCAAAAAGACAGTGGGTTAGGATAGGGCATTCTCTGTTTAGCTTGATTCCCTTGATAATCTGACCCTGAGTCGCTTTTTCAATGAGGAAGGAAAGTGCATTGGACATCAGGATGAAGAGCAGAGGGGAAAGGGGGTCCCCTTGCCGGATGCCTCGAGAAGGAATGAACTCGGGAGAAGGGTTTCCGTTGAAGAGTAGCCTGAACTTGACTGTTGAGATACAGGCCCTAACCCATCCACACCAGGTGTCATTGAACCCGTAGGCCTTGAGAAGGTTGATGAGAGAATCCCATTCCACCAGGTCGTATGCCTTTCTCATGTCGAGTTTCAACATCATATCCTTGGTATTCTTTGTCTTGTTTTTTTTAAACTGATTTAGAACTTCGTGCACAATAATGATGTTGTCCTGGATTTGCCTTCCCCCTGTGAAGGCAGATTGTAACTCATTTACCAGGGATGGAAGCCAAGGTTGCAGTCTAAAAGTCATGATCTTTGTGATCACTTTGTACCGGAAATTGCAGCAGCTGATGGGTCTGAATTGGCTAATCATCTCTGGTTGGTCAATCTTGGGGATCAGAGTGATATAAGTGTCGTTCCATCCCTCAGCCATCACTCCCGTCTTAAAAAAATCCATGATCTCCTTGCAAAGTGTATCTCCAAGGTAAGGCCAAAAAGTCCGAAAGAAATGGCCGGGGAATCCGTCGGGACCTGGGGCCTTATTGGCTCCGAGAAGGAAAACCGCCTTTCGGACCTCCTCTTTTGTGACTTCGGCCGTCAGTAGAGTGTTGGCCTCCTCTGTGACCAGGGAAGGGAAGTCTGTCAGAAGGGAGCTGTCGAGGCCAACTTCTCTACTATGGAACAGTTCCTTGTAGAAACCGTTAGCGTGATCAACCAATGCCGCTGAATCTTCAATCCAATCACCATTGTCGTCTCTTAATTTGATAATCCTGTTCTTGTGTTGTCTTCGGATGGTGGTGGCATGGAAGTACCCTGTGTTTTGGTCTCCCTCGCGCAGCCACCCATTCCTAGATCTCTGTGCCCAGAAAGATTCCTCTGATGTCCACCACTTCTCAAGTTCCTGGAGAAGTCCCCTCTCCTCATTTACCATTTCTTGCGTCCTGACGGGCCCTTGCAGTTCCTGTAACCTTAGTCTGATCTCTTTCTCCTTCCTCAAGTTTTGAACCCTATCGAGTTTTGCCCATTCAGAAACGCTTCTTTGAACCTCCTTCAGGATACCATGTACATTGCCTTCAGCTCCCCATTTGTCAATTATAATTTGTTTACATTCACTATTCTCCTTCCATCTTTTATCAAATCGGAATGGTGTACAAGATGAAGGTTGGTGATGGTGCAGATCCACCCTGATTGGGCAGTGATCGGACTCCACGAAGTCCTCATGGAAGACTCTGGCTCGATCAAAGCTTCTCAACCAGTTGGCATTACACAGGGCTCTGTCAAGCCTTTCCCTGATCAGATCATTCCCCTGCTGATTATTTGACCATGTAAAAATCTCCCCTGAGTACCCGAGATCAATCAATCCGTTGTAATCCATGAAATACTTGAACGGTAGAACATTTTCATTGCGCAGGGGGCATCGCCCCTGTTTTTCACAAGGCGATAACGCCACATTCAAGTCACCGACAATGAGCCAGGGCTCGTCTTGAGTCTCCCTCAAAGCCGAGAGTCTATCCCAAAAGATCCTTCTCTCTACCGCCGTGGCAGGAGCATGGACCAAGGTACAAAAAAAACTGAAATCATTCTGGCTAACCCTAATGTCCATAAAGGACTTACACTTCTCAATAACTTCAACGTCAACATCAACATTCCACCAAACTGCTAACCCACTTCCTTCATTAACTGGATTGACATAAGCACCATGATCAAACCTCAAAACTCTTCTCTTCCCTTCCATGAATTCTTCATCTTTCCTGGTCTCCATCAGAAAGAGGATTGAGGGGCCATATCGGCGACACAATCTGCCGCAGTAGCTTCTTGTAAGGGATTGGCCAAATCCCCTACAATTCCAGCTTAATATTCTCATTCATTATTTGGCGGCTTGAGGCCTGCCGCCGATGCCCTCGGAGTGGCTGATTCTCCCTCTCCGGATTGATTCCCTTCCGCTGTGATCTCTGTCAGGTTTCTCCTTCTGATCAAGTTCCTTCTCCTCTGGTATGTCTTTCTGTTCTCCCCTGAAGCAAAAGAAAGAGAGTCAAAGGATAGGTTAGTGGTCAGGTCCTGCTGGGGCAGAGAGAAATTGCTTGGACTCCTGTGCTCTGGTTTTCTCTTCTTCTCGGGCCTCTGCCTTTCCTCCTCTGTGATATGGGCCAGGCCTGCTTCCACTAGCGGTTTAAAGATCTGGGCCGAAACAGGGACGGCTGATGCTTGTATATTGACCGTGGGCTGGGCCTGTTCGTTGGTGATGGCTGGGGTTGGAGTCGGGGCTGCCCAAGAATAAATTGGGCTACCAAGGGATAAGCCGAGGCCCATCTCGAGTAGGCCTGCATCCGCTTCTCTGCTCTTCTCACCCTCCCTGAGATCCAGCCCTCTCTGCATTGCCCTGGCTGCCGCGTCCATTTCTCTCTCCAGTCGATTTGGTTGGCCCGATGACGATCCCGTATCACCCCTGTGAATCCAGTCAGAGTTCTGCGCCGGCATGGGTAGTGCTGCGAACCCAGAGGGGTTTGACAATGACCCTGCCATCGATCCAGGAACCGGGTGGCCCATCAGTGTGAGTATGGAAGATTCCCTTCTGGCTCCTCTGATCTGCTGCATTCCAGAGTTGTTGTTTGTCAGGCGGCGCATGTTTGCCAGCTTTTCCCTAAAAGATGCCGGCGGTGTGTTCGCCGGGGAATCATGACCCGCTTTGAGTGCATCCGTGTAGACTTCCGACGGCTCGGTGCTGAGTCCGTTTCTTCTATTTTCTTCCCGTTCCCGGCAATTATGGATCAGATGTCCGAGCCTCCCACAAAAGTAACACAGATCCATGATCCGTTCATATTTAAAACTGACCCAAGTTGATCTCTCCCCGACTGGGTATTCGAACCCTATGGGGAGTGGCTCCTCAATGCTAACTTCCACTTTGGCTCGGATGAACTTCAGCCAGCCTCTGAACTCGAAGTTTGATTGGTCTATGGCATGGTATTGAGGGAAAATGAAAGAAGCCACCGCCTGGATTGCTTCTTCGTCTTTCAAAGATTGGGGGAGGTCGTGCATTTGTACCCACAGGGTGACTGTGGGTATGTCTGCAATCTCGGCTTTCTGCTCGCCATCCCACTTTTTGAGGGCTATCACAGTGTTGCTTAAGTTCCAAGGCCTGGCATCCCAGACTGCATCCCGTTGTTGCGTCGACTGGAATGAGTAGACGAACAGATTTTCAGCTTCTTTTGTTGCATGGATCTCGCCATATGCCCGCCATTTCTGCATCGCTGCATTCTTGGCCTTTTGGATATTAATGCTTGAGTCTGTTACCCATCTAACTAGTAACATTGCCATCCCACTGCCCCTTGCTCCCACCACTGTTGGTCGGACGTTGAGTATCAGATGGCTTCTTTCACCCCTTAGGCTCCTTGCTTGCATTTCCATGGTGATGGACTTGATTTGGATTTTTCGGCTGGGGATGTAATTTGGTTTGAGTTTTTCCTGGAAGTGGAGAGGCTTTCCTTCGATTGTTGTGTGTGGTAGAAGACTTTGGTAACTCAGCTCGATCGATCCCCCTCTTAAATAGGCGAGGTTGAGCTGTTCCAGGTGCTCTTCGACTCTCTCTTGAGAAATAAATGTCCCCGGTATTAATGGGGTAGGCCGCTGTGACCTTCTGATCTTCCCTTTTGTCGGTCTTCCATTTAGAGGCCATTTGAGGTGGTTTCTGCCTGCTCTTAAATGTTCGTTCCTGCTTCCCAATGGCCTGCCTTTTCTTTTCCGTGGGGTTATCTGTCTGCAGTGGGAGTCAGCGCATTTACTCCCTCCTTCCCTATCCTTAATTGATCTGCCTTCCAGTATGCGTGTGCTGCCGCTCCCTATGATTACCGGCTCGTTTTCCCGTATCTCCACTCCGGTGACTATCGGACCATAAATGCTCTGTAGACCTCTGGTTCCAGGAGATTTTCGCCCCTGACCCGTATTAATTCTCTCTTCCTCTGCCTTCCCCTCTTCATAGCCTTCTGGATTTCTTTTCTTTTCATCTTCCCCTCCCAGGCCATCAGTCAAGCTCACATCAGGTGGTTTGGGCGGCGGAGTAATGTCTGCCCTGCTCTTTAAACCTGACTCCCAATTCTCCTTATTGGTGGTTTCAGAAGCTGTGCGATGCTGTTCTCCTTCATAGAAGCGCTCTGCATTAAAAGTTTCCAAATCTACTTGGATCCTCCTGCCATTATTGTTGCGCTTTGATTGGGTGACTATGAGTGCTCCGCAGACGGCAGCTAGATTGGATCTCAGTCGGAGATCTGGAGAGAGTTGCCGGAAAAGGTGAGAGGGAAGGGGAGAGGGGAGAGGAAGTTTCCTCATGTGATGTTTTTTTTTTATTCCCATAGAGAAGGATTTTGGTGGAAGCCCTTACACCGATTCTCACTAAAAGACAGAGAATGAAACAGTAACCGACCATTGAGAGCAAAAAGCGTACCTAGCTTTTATGTTCTAAATAAAAGAATTTTCAATTTCCCATGGTGTTTTCTATACTTCCATTTCTACCTTTCTCCATAAAACTATGAAGTTTTTAGACTATTTTAGACTTTTAGTCATTTCACACAAGTTGTGGATCCACCTAATCATTTCAGAATCATGTGAAATTATTGTCTCACAAACACAGATTTCAATTTCTACTATTTAGTCAGCTTATAACTTCTCAACTTGGCTTCAGTAATAGAATAAAGATGGTCAAAATGGTCAACTTACGCGATTCCTTGAGCAAGAGTTGTAGCAATCTTCATCCTCATATTCCAATCCGAGCATCTGCCTCCCCTCGGCATGTGGTGTAACCACCTATCCAGAGGGCCATTAACAATAAACTCATAAACAATGTAGCGATCACCATGATCATAGCAGCAACCTTTGATTGACACCAAGTTTGGATGGTGAAGCCTTGCAGCCTTTCCAACCTCAGAGTAGAACTCCTTCTTCCTCTGGAAACTAGACCTCTTCAACCTCTTGACAGCCAACCTAGATCCATCTGGTAGAAGCCCGCTATATGTTCCACCTGTCTTTGCATCACCATGAAGACGATTTCCCTCACTAAAATTCTTAGTTAAAGAATGGAGTTCCTCTTTGGTGAAAACTTTCCATGATGGAGGAACTAAGGCGGATGCAGCTGGATTAGATACTTTGCGTGACTTTCTACTTTTCTTGCTGCTCCGATACACAAGGAACCAAATCACAACAGCCAGTGTAGCAGAGAGGATTAGTCCTTTTTTTTTAGTCCACTGACAACTGCAAGAATGATGAGATACTCCCTGTGGCAGTGCATATGGTAACATTTCTTCACTGTGAACCAGTAGAGAGGAACACAGATACAAAAGCATGTCAAAAATCTTTTTTTGGCTACAGAGTTTTAGTTTTCATTACCTCATTTGGCGTTTTGAGTGTAAGCCTGTAGAGATTATCAGATAAAAACACAGTAACGAATGTAGTGGTGATAATATGAGATATGTGATTCAGATTAGTTCAGTAAGAGTGGCTGTAAGAACATACCAGAGTCCACCATACAAATAGAAGCATGAGATGCATTGCATCTCTCTCCCATGACAATTGTACTTCCATTAGTCAGCAAGGTGCATAAATCAACAGCAGTATTATTGTGGCATGATGTGTTGCCACAGTTTGATGGGAAGACCACAGCACCAAATAGTGACTGGCTCCAATGAGTTGTATTATCTGACCACTTCCATGTAAAACCAACACTAGAGTTTGTTCCTCTACCACCAACCCAACAGCCATCGGTACTTTGGCCACACAACCTTAGAGCAAAATCAAGATCTTGATTTGAAGCCAGCGCTGCCAAGTGTCCTCCATGGCCTTTGCACCAACTTTCTGATTCCTCCCGTGACTGAAAATCTCGGATGTACTTGAAACACTTAGTTCTATTCATGTTCGTGTCCCAGCCAGATGGACACCATCCTGCCAACAAGAAAAAATTACCAATCTTATCACTTTAAAGAAGCTAGCTAGAGGGTTTTCCCTATTAGGCCAGTCTTCCCTATTTCAGCAAAACCAGGCCGGGATGCAAACCTACTCTATGTATATTCTATTTATTAACATCAGATGAGCCAGGATTCCTGGTTACATAATTTCCACCTCCATTTCTGAGATACATTTGCTAATTGACCAAGCACGATATAATTTTATCTTCATGTTAAGACTTGAGCAGTATATCCCCTAGACAAAAGTCAATCTTTGATACTCGCTATCCAAGTATTGGAGGATACATGAAGAAACACTAGGATGAAGAGAACATTGGTCTTCCCTGCCTTAAACCCTAGATTAGAGGAGGTGGAACAATCTGAAGTATATTTTGCTTCTAGGATAGAGGAACTGCTATAATATAGTGACGACTAGAGCACAAGCCAGAAACTAGTACCTCACTCACAACTAGAAACAAAAATGGCAAGCCGGATGCTTGGGCACAAGAGCAAGGCAGTGCAAAAGCTTAGCCCTTCTTTTCCATTGACGGGAGCTTCGGATTTCAGCAGTATCAAGATGGGCCAAAAAACAAGAAAATGAAAGGATTCTAAACTTGGAAATTTTCAGCAGTTACATATGATATCGACCATGAGAAGCAGCCTGTTCTACTATGCCGCGCTTGAACTTTCCATGGAGAGCCCAGCATTTCTCTAGTCGTTGCCATTTTATTCGTCCTCCTCTTCGTCTTCTTCTTCTTCTTCCACAGGCAGAAGAGCGAGTCTCAGACAATCGATTACCCAGCCCAGGGGACGTTCGGTGTGAGCGGTGTTCGACCGTAACTTTTAGCCCCGTGGCAGGTCGGGTAATTTATCACGGGTCGCGATCGGAGCAGGTCGACCCATTAGGTATGGAATTTATATGAAAAATATTAGAAATATTCGTTATTTTTATTATAAGATCAAGAAAACAAACAATATTGTGATAAATGTAGTTAATTTCTTGGATAAATTGAGGTTTTCACTAATTTACAACTTTATTATAGCTAAAATATGATGTAATAAAAGGAAAATCCTAAGCAATTTGACTAAAATTACATGTAATTTAGGAAAGAACGGGTCGAGAATGAGGCGGGTCAGGGCAGGTCGGGTCGATGAGAATACCCATGCCCGCCCCGCCCCGCCTACGGGGCGGGGCATACCCGCCCCAAAATAGGCCAAACAGGTACCGGGTAAAACGGGTCAGGTCGAAATTGACATCCCTAATTAAGGGTAATGTCTATTTAAAATAAATACAATATAATAGTCAAATTTTTAGTTTTAAACAAAATAATAATCAAACTTTTTCAAAAATCATTTAATAACCAAATCATCAACTTTCCGTCCGATCAACCGTTAGTTGACTATGATGTGGCCAATACATACTGACGTACATCAGTCATCACCATATATATATATATATATATATGGGGAGTTCTACGGTACCCTGGGTAAAATCCGGGGTACCGCATACCTTGAGTATGAAAACACTATCTAGACCTTGAATTGACCGATCTTTCGGACATGATACTATACTCTAACCCTTAAAGATCAAAATCTAGGTCTTAATTCTCCCAATCTTATACTCCAAGATCAATTTAATTAGAAATAATAATCGACGGTTATGATTCGTCCAAATATAGGCACAAAAAGGAATGCACCAAATTAGGGTTTATAGATTATGATTTAGATAATTAGGACCTAGGGTTCACTCATTAAGGGTTATGGTATAGTATCAGACCCAAAAATCCTGCTAATTCGAGGTCTAGACACCGTTTCCATACTCAAGGTATGCGGTACCCCGGATTTCACCCGGGGTACCGTAGAAGGCACCATATATATATATATATATATATATATATATGGATACGACTCGTATGCGTCATACCAGACACATACTATGCGACAGGATTTCTACACCGTAGATCTAATCTAATGCCTGTTATTAAATCTAGGTAGGTTTAAGTACCCATATTTTGCTAAAAGTCTGCCCATTGAAATTGTTTTCAGATTGAATTTTTATTTTCTTTTTTGTTAAAAAAAAGCAAGCTTCTTCTTCTTCCCTCGTTGAAATCGAAGAAACAACAACACAGTAACAAACGAACTGAAAAGAACCCTATTCCCATATTTCCAACATACAATTAAATTCCAGAAAACACAGTAGCTTGTTCGAATCAGCCTATCTACCCTAACCCCAATATCATCATTCAGAAAAGTTTCCAGCAAACCCATGTCGATTGAATGCTACAGATTCGAGTTTGAAATTCCCAGGGTTGGATCACACGGATGAGTTGGGCCTGTCGCGATCGATGACATGGAGAGGATGACAGTGAATTTGTTGATGCGGCAGCGGATCCGAGGTCCGGCGGGTACGAGGTTCAGTTAGTCTGGATTCATCCCTAGGATGGAATTCGATCGGGACCGCGATGGGTGCAACGTGTTTGACTGGAGAGGAAGATGATTGGTCCGTCTATTGTTCAAAAGATTGCAGGGAGAAAGGGGAATGTAGGGTTGCCGGAGAGGAGAGACGCTGGTGGGATCGGTCCTGGGATAGTGACATGGGCTCTCCGGATAAAAGAGACGGCGGTGGGATGGTGACATGGGGTTGTCGGAGAAGAGAGACGGCCGTCGAATTACGGTGGTGAGTGGTGACGGCGGCAACTGGATAATTGGGAATTTGGGATGTCGAGAATCGCAGGGTCCAGGAAAGACGACGATACATGAAAAAACGCCATCGTTTTGTGCTCGTCTCTGAATCAAAAGTGGCCTGGAGAACGGCGTCGTTCTATAGGCGTAGCTGAAAACATAAATTTTTGAAATGGTATGAGGGTCGAACCGGCGTCCTGGTCATTACCATGGGCAATTTTCACCATTGCTGCTGAACAAGCCTTTTGATTCAATATACTTACATTATTATGTTTACAATTTATAAATGAGTTCTTGTAAAATTAAAACATAAATCTAAACTAAGCAGGACTTTTGTACCAGACTTAATAGGGCTTAGTCGAGCAGATCGGCGGCTGTCCTCCCTTTGTTTCTTTCTTTATTCCACCAACAGAGAACAATAATGAATTGTAAAAAAAAAACATAGAACAATAATGGCAAAGTTGAAAATTGGAAGACTACTTACCTACCAAATCACGAAAACTATCCATCTTCCTGATTTTTCTCCCCTCCCCATGGGCTGGCTTCTCTGTTTTCCTTCAGACTAAAATTCAACCGCCCTCTTCCTCCCTCCGCCTCCCCCTCCGCCTCCGTTGGCCGTTGCATGTCTCCGCCTCCGTTGCATGCACGTCTCCGCCTCCGCCGGTCAATCAACCGCTGGTTGCTCAGTAGCGGTCTCCTCCTCCGGGCCACCATCGTCGCCTGCCACCTCCGCCACTGATTAGCTATAGCGGTTATGGGAAGAAGAGCGGAGGAAAGTCGCCAGGACTAACCACGTCGGTTGTGGGAAGAAGAGTGGGCCACCATCGTCGCCTTCCACCTCCGCCGCTGATTCGCTCTAGCCGTTGTGGGAAGAAGAGCGGGCCACTATCGTCGCCTGCCACCTCCGCCGCTGATTCGCTCTAGCGGTTGTGGGAAGAAGAGCGGGCCACTATCGTCGCCTGCCACCTCCGCCGCTGATTCGTTCCCGATCTGCTCGACTTACCACGCGGTGTCACCGGCCACGTTTCCACCGCCGCATGTACTTTTCTTTAATTGATTGTTAACTATTTGGTACCTTGTATTAGAATAGTTGATCATAATGTGTTCTTAATTCTTATACTCCTATAGAACATCCACAGTACGTGCAAGAACAGAAATTGAGTAGGGTTTCCGACTTCCGTGGTGTAATTTTCTGACAATGGATGATGTATCGCAATGGTATCCGTAAGTATTGTTTACCAACTAAACCTTACGACAGTCTACTCCGCTTCCTTTTCCTATTGCCAGCCATTACTAACGGTTTTATTTATAGGGAGTTTATGGTTGAGCCTGGTTTCGTTGCAAATCTGACGTATGAGGAAGCAGTAGCTATGCCTAATTTTTCGGATTCAATTGAGCTTATATTGTTGCAAGAGAATGGCGACGATGAGGTTATTGAAATAAACTTTTTTGTCATTCATCCTTCTCGATCTCGTTTGCACTTATTGTGTTTGCTAATGCTGGTTAATTTTTTTTGAAAATCCATTTCTTGTTTTAAACACCAGGGCACTTGTTACCTCATCTCCGGACGTGTCACCGAGTTAAGGACATCATGGTGTGCTGCATGTAGATTTCATTTGATCCACTTAGTTATTGAGGATGACTATTTGGATGTTGAGGTTGTTTTCCCATCGACAAACTTACGCAAAATCCTTGCAGATGTAGTAAGTGATGAAGACATGGCCAATGCCGATTTCGTTACCCTTGTCAACTTGCTTGGTGGAAACTCTTATGAGGTTATGGTCACATTGGGTCCTTGGAACGATGCGTATTTTGAGCTGTTATTGGTAAAATTATTTTTCCCCCCCGGAAACTGAATACCATTTCAGCAATGTCAATAGAATCTACAAAAGTTGCTTAGTGTCGGCCTTAATGTTATTTCTCTTGTTATGCAAGTGTACTAAGTGTGTGAACACAATGCTTTTTTGTACGGGTTCTGCCCTTCTTAATGAATTGTTGCTTGTATCTTTCTATACTTATCGAAACATTTCTCAATTACTTATAAACGGGATCAGTTGCCTAATGAAAAGTTATGTAAAAAAATTCAGGTTTATTTGGTTCAAATTACTGTATCATCAACATCCTACACCCCAATTCGACTATCCAAAAGGCCATCATCTGTTCACCCAAACTACCCCATAGCTAACCATTTATCTCACCATCATCATCAAAACCCAACAGCCATCAAATTCACGGTTATCTCCAACTACTGCCCAGGGAAGACGACGAGACATGACAAACGTCGTCGTTTGTGCTCGCTGCTAAAGCGAGAGTGTCCCCAGGACGACGTCGTTCCACAAGCGTAGCTGAAACATGGTTACATGGATGTGGTTAAAAAAAATAAGACGATATGAAGAACCGAACAGGCGACCTTGCGATGACAATAGCCCATTTTAACCATCAATGTTGTACAAGTTTTTTGATACTTTAAACGTACACGTTTTGTATACATATGTTGTAACAATTAAACATAAAACTAACAAAAAAAAAACTAGGGAACTCATGACTTCTTAGAGTTGTTAGAAAAGAATCGATGATAATAACAAAAATAATTAAGGAAGTAAAGCAAAATAAATGAAGACGACGACAATTTTTGTATAGAAGTCAATGGCTTTACCGTGACTATATTATATGAAAAAGCTATCTACATGTGCATACCATGCATTTGGACAATAAACCTTCCATACTACTCACTAGATATATCTCTTTCGTCAGAATAATATGTTTTCAACACATTATGTGGTTCTGACACAGTCAATTTGCCATGTTTAAACACCATGTGTTTACATATTATTTTGGTTAGTGAACTTGTATACTTTCATTACTATTCGGTTATACAATATGTTTGGTTCGTGCGAGTCTAAAAAGGGATTATAATAGAAATCATGTAATATACACTTCTGACAAATTTGAGTTTCATGCCACCAAAATTCAAAATAGTAAAACTTTGCGTATCGTGAATATATTATATGAACAAGCTATTTACATATGCATACCATGCATTTGGAAAATTAACCCTCCCATGCTATCCACTAGAACAACATATTCTCAACAAATTATGTGGTTGTGACATCGATCGATTTGACATGACGAAACACCATGTTGTACATATTGTTTTGGTTAGTGGACTTGTCCTCTGGCTTAGCCTACTTCTTTAGCATAATCAGAATCTAATATAATATTTATGGTTTTGTCTAAATGAATTTATGAAACATGAACCTATGAATGATGTGCAAAGAGAAGAACAATACTTTGGGAGTCATGTCCTTCACCTTATCTGTCACAAAAATCATGCAACAAACGATAAACATATCCAAGGTAGTTGAGGCGCGAGTGTTGATAATATGAGAATCAGTGCAATGCTCATGCCTTCCTAGTCGAAGCAAGGTTAGCTCAAGTTGTAAGAAGGTTGGTTTGAGATCCCAAATAAGTTGTTGAAATGAGTTGTCAAATATAGTTGATTATTGCATACTAAAGTAAGCACTTGTGTTTTATGGTTGTTGTCATACTAACATTGGTAGAGTTGTATCTCGTAGGGCGGCTATGTATTCAACAATTTGGTATTCCAACATTTAAACGCTTAATTGCAACATGATATGGTTAGTAATACAAGATTGATTTAGGATGCAAGGATATAAATATTTTTATATACACATTTAGGAATTCTCATTTTATGCTTGTTACACTATATTGATTTAGAAAATGCCACACATTTGTCAATTAAGGCTGGCTACATAACTTGGTTTGTCTTTAGGGTACGTTTAAAGTTGGGGATAAAATGTTGGAATTCCATTAATATGTTTTATAGGGTATGTGATTGTATCTGGTGCAGAAGACCACCCGAGTGGCAGGTAGCAGGTCCCGAAGTTGGCATATGACACGAGTGGTTCCTGTAGATAGGGGTATTCAAACGGTTTGGTTACCATGGTAACCGTTTTAACCAGTACTATTTGGATAATTTGGTTTGGTTAATTTGGATAATTGGTTTGGTTTGGTTAAAGTTTATAGCTTGTTTGGTTTAGGTGGTTTGGTTTGGTTTCAGACACTCCTAACCAGTCAAACCAAATTAACCAGTTAAGTAATTAGTCATATATCTAACATATATTATATACACATACTTAATACTTTGCATAACCACTCAAGAGTTAACATTCATCCCTTTTAGACTCATAAAATATAAAGCTCAATATTGCTCATATAGTGTATATTTGTATATGTAAAAAGTAGACCACAACATATGGACGCCTAATTTAGATAAATTTCATACATTATGATGGATGAAAACTTGAAAGGAAGGTCATTTCCAGTCTATGATAATTGCTAAGAGACTAAGTCAATTTACACAAACACAACAATTCATTAACCCATACCATTGTCATAAATTTTTGTTAGGTGAATACTTCTATACTAATCGTAAGAGAATTGTCTTAGTTGCATGTATTTTTGTTAAGGGTCAACTATAACTACGTGTTGATTGTTATGTTTTGTTCATTATATAAATTGCGAATTGTTGCATTAACCGGAAAATTTTCATCGTCGATGATAATGTGATTTTATATTGTTAATCTGGTTAACCAATTAACCAAACCGATTAAACTTTAGTTTGGTTAATTTGGTTGTTGTATTAGTTTAGACGGTTTGGTTATGATATTGTATTCCATGGTTAATGGAATTTAGCCTTATTTGGTTTGGTTATAACCATGGTAACCATTTGAACACCCCTACTTGTAGATGTGGCACTATAGCATTGGTATTTTTAGATAGAGTGGATGCTTTTGTGTAGATGTGGCCCCGTAGGTTGTTTGTTGTTGTTTTTACCATCATTTGCATCAATCTGATGGTACAAAATTGTTGTTCTTGTAATCTCGGTTAGATTGTATCAAATTATTTTTGTTTATTAGAAACTCTATCTAAATCTTGTGTAAAGCTAAAAAGTGGTTCTTGCAACCTCTGTACCCAAATCCTTTATTGGGTAGAATATGTATCCAAATCTTGTGTGAAGATAAAATGTGATTCTTCTAATATCTATACCCAATCATATTTTGGTAGAATCTGTATCCAAATATTTTGTGAAGATAAATGCTGCCATTTGTAATGTAAAGATTATAGTAATTAATTTATTTCCTTTTACAAAAATCTTTTGCCCCTTCAATCTTCTCTGTATAATCTCTTCCAAGTTATTATTCCCACATTCCAATAGTAGATAATCTCTATATTTGCTCTGAAATCGGTAGCCTGATTGCAAAATTTTAAAATGATTTTTTTCTTAGTATTAATCATCAATTTAATTAATGTATGTTAATGAAGATTTCCGATAAAAAAAGAAGATTTCCATCATTGATTGAAGAAGACAAAATTAGGGATAGTTGTTTCCTTTTTCAACTGACGAAGATAGAAGGTTTCGAGGGTAAAAAAGGATAATGATAGGGTAGACAATCAGCAAATAAATAGGGAGATCAATTAAATAATAAATATTCAAAATTACATTACATTTAATTCTTTCATTCCCATAGCCTCGAAAAAGGAAGTTTGCCGAATATAGGTGGTGGCATTGGCGAGTTTCTCTAAAAAGTGGGTCATCAGAATTTTGTATTTTCTTTTGCATTAAAAATCTTTGTAATTTTAAAATATGTACGCCAAATGTTTTGTTAAGATATAAAGTGGCTCTGAAAAATCCATTATTTTTGGTACTATCTGGATCCAAAAATATGTTGAACAGACAAAAAGATTTTGGTACTATCTGGATCCAAAAATATGTTGAACAGACAAAAAGCAATCAGATTCCCAAGTTTAAGTTATTTTATTCTAACAGTGAATCAAAGTTTTACTTACCTTTCAACCAAAAAAATGTTTTACTTGCCTTTAAAGAAATTATTTATCTATTAATGGCTTACCATTAATTAAAATGGAAAGTAGAAGACAAAAACGTGCTGCCTTTGGGAATTGAACCCGTCATATTTCCACGCTATTTCCGTTACGCCAAATGACATTCACTGGCTTTAATTTGGCGTCTTAGTAATTATTTAATATTTTTAGTTTATACGTAATATCTCAAACCATTATCGCGACTTTTGAGATTGGGGTCAAGGTTGTTGGATCCTTAAAGATTATAAATCTCGATCCATAATAACACTAAGGGATTTGGCGTCGTAGTATAGTTGTCGTGGTATAGTGGTCGACGTAGGACGTATCCCCAGGCAAAATGGTCTCGCCTACTACTTGAGCATAATCATAATCTAATAAAATCTTATAATTTTAGTTTAAATTAAACTAGCCAACTTGAATCTATGAAAGATGCGCTACAACGATACTTTTGTAGTCATCTCCCTCACCCTAATTGTCACAAAAATCGTGCAACAGACGATAAACATATCCAAGGTAGTTTAGGCAAGAGGGTTGATAATATGAAAATCAATGCAATGGACATGTCTTTCCTAGTCGAAGCAAGGTTATCTCAAATTTCAAGAAGGCTGGTTTGGGATCCTAATTATGTAGTGTAATGCGAATTGGGGATCATTTGTCACCCAAATAAATTGTTGAATAGAATTGAATTATTGCGTACGAAGTAAGCATTGTGTTTTATTGTTGTTGTCATACTAATAAATATGTTGTAATCAATCATCAGATTGCTTGCTCTATATAACTCGGCAGCAGCTGAAATCGACAAAGAAAAGTTATCATCAAAATTAAGAAACATAAAGGAAGGGAGTAAGAAAATTAAGTTGAATGGACAAAGGCAAGAGATGCATCAGCTTACAACGCCTTCAGATCTCACAAAGATCTGGAATCGGAGATATCATAAACACCACGCAATGGAGAGCTCTACGCAAAACGATGATTGGTGTCGCTAGAACTATTTGGAAATGGAATTGATTGTGGAAGCTAGCTAGCCGGAAAGAGATCCAGATTGAGAACAGGAGGGAAGAAAACGCCATTGAAGCAAAGTTGGAGACATGATAGCACCGGCATAAAGCTATGGGAAACCCTAAAGAATACGAAGAGATGGAAGTATGCACGATATATATAGATCTATTTATGGGAGTTAATATTTACAGCCCTAAATATTTAAAAATTCGCCCTAAATTTGAAAAACGGACACCTTTGCCCCTAGCCCAAATCTAACCTAAATCCCCAAATCAACAAATCACCGGGAACCCCAAACCCTTTACATTGTCGACGATGTTCCCCGCCGCCGTTGGTGCTACTGAGCTTAACGGGGAAGGAGGACGATGTGCACATGCCCAATCTTTCTCGTCGGCGGCAACCTGATTCAGATCGTAGCCAGGCAGAAACTAGACTGGGCCGGGTCCAGACGTGCTCCACCACCGCTCCCCCGGCTATGGACGTCATCCCCACCCGCTCGATTCGGCAACGAGGCGGGTTGAAAACCCGTCGTCGACGAGCTGGACACAGGTCGAAACCACATCTCTAGCCAGAGAAGAAGCAACGAGCGAAGCAGAGCGACGACGGTCGTCTGGCTGGCCAGATGAAGGAAGTAGAGGGTTGCGGCGCCGATCATCGGGGAGGGGAGCAGGAGTAGAGGGAGACGGCGGCGCCGGCGCGGGGAGGCGAGCATGAGCAGAGGGAGGCGGGGGCTCCTCGTTTTGCGGATTAGGGCGATTACGGGATTAATGTTTTTAATTGGGGGCAAAATCGTCCGTTAATATAATTTAGGGCGATTTATTTAAAAATTTAGGGCGTTAAATAGAAGTTCAGCTATTTATAGTTAAAGAATATCTCAATAGTTAATAACTTCAATAAGATATTGTCCATTGAGGCTTTTTAGTATGCTATATAGTATGGGTGCTTTATTATGTTTATAGTCCTTAGATCTTGTTATAAAATATCAGCCATTGGATTAAAGTTATTTAATTATTTTTTTTCACCCGTTGGAATGGTAACCTGTTGGATCGGTTCGTTGCATAATAATTAAAAAAAAAATTGATATCCAGTCGGGTAAAGCGATTGAGCTCGTCGAATTTCAGAGCCTCTCTTTCGCGGTGGGATTTCAGAGCGTCTCTTCGTAGATAGTGACGGGGTTGATTGGCAGCGACGACGACGGCGAAACTGCATCCGAATTCAACGAACCTGCATCAAGGAGCGATGGCAACGCTGTGAGAAGAAAGAGATTGGGGGTTTCAACTTTCCTCTTCCGCGATCGTGAACTATGCTCTTCCGCGGTGGGTCTCTTTGACGATATTGAAGTGGTTGAGCATCGGCGACGGGAACGGTGAGATTGTGTTTCGCAGCGGGTCTCTTCTGATTGTGCTCTTTCGCGATGGGTCTCTTCGTCAATAGTGAAGGGGTTGCTTAGCAGGTCACTGGAGGGAATAATTGGAGCAAGATTCAGAGCTACTTGATTGAGGGCAAAGTCTGCTCCAAGTTCAACGAGACTTGCCTTTCCGATACCGTCGAGCAGTTCTACACCGAGCAATTGTCCGCTCTTCAGGTAAAAAAAGGCGATTCTCTTTCTGGGTTTTGAAAATTCATTTGGTGGTTTTTGCTATTCTTCTTCTCTTTTATGAACTTTTTGAGCGTGGCTTTTGGCTTTCTGTGGTGGGTTAGGGATTTGATTGCTTTTAGTTGGGGGAAAGCGATGGATAAACTATAGATTTTTTCCCTCAGGAACTTGTGAAATTGTTATTGTGCTGAATTTAGAGATCCTTGATGATATTGAGCAGCAATTGGGATCAAATAGAGATTGGAAACTTGGTAGACTCTGAACAATAGAATTGCGAGCCATCTAAATGTTGGATCTTGGTCAATTTTCTGGGGATTCTAGTTCAAAAGTGCTCCATGGAAAGTTCATTTAGCTAGTGAAATCCTATCTCCCTTAGAGCGATTCAAATAAAGATTGAAACCTTTAGAATGTAATAACACTACAAATGTTCACCATTTGTGTGCTGGATTTTGGTCCATTTTCAAGTGCATATAGAATTGGTTTCTTATCTATTTTGACTGGATCCAATAGTTATTGAAATTTTGTGGACTCTGAAACCTACCATAGCTAACCATCCAAGGGATGAATTTTGTTCAATTTCAAGTCAATTGCAACTCAACTTGCTCCATGAAAGCTCATATAGTAGCTGTTCTTAGTAATCCCATCTGTGCATTTCGTTCTAGGTTAGTGCTAAATTCTGTCCATGTGCATGCCTGGTTATTGTTATTGAGAGTTCATATGGTAGCTATTCATGGCTGTCTTGTTAACCCTTGCATTTGATGAACTGGGTACTAATCAGCCTGCTTATTGTTTGCTTTCAGTTTGTGGTTTTTTTTCATGGTCGAGACTCCACTAGCTACTTGATTCAATTTCTGTGCCATACGGGTTGGGGGGGCTGTGGTAGTAGTTACATATGAAGGTCCATTGTATAAAAGTGACAAGAGTAGTTGCAGATCCAGTATCATTGTATTTCTATTTTATTAGTGCCTACTTTATGGTATCAAGTTGAATGGAATTTGTCATGTGTGTTGGCTCAAATTGGATGTTTGTCCTCCACCATCTTCTTAAGCTATGTTGTCTTGTTATTGTTGTTTGAAGTCTTGTTTTTCCTGGAGAGTTGTTTCCCTGGGGTGGGTGGGGGGGGGGGGGGGGGGGTAGCAACATAATTTGCTACTCTATGTCCAAGTCTTGTTGTCTTTTACAGGGATGATTTTCTGGTTTCGTTCAAGGTTTTTGCAACTATCCCTCTTATTCTTGTTGGTGTTATGTTGCCCAAGTTTGTAGGGATATCAATTGAATTTTTCAATGTCAAAGCTTGTTGGGGTTGAAGGAGATCAGAGTTGGGAAAAGGAAGTATTCTATTTTGCTTATCTCATGAAAAGATGTCACGGTTGTGAAATTTCCAGAATTAGTCGTGATAATGTTTAGTGGAATCTGGGTGTTTTTAGTTTCATGGTTTCATTTAGGGCTAATACCACTACAACACCTGAACTATCGCAAAAATGTCAACTTGTGTCCTATTGTATTCAATATTCCATCTATGTCCTGAACTATTTTTCCGTTAAAGTTGACTCGTTTTGACCGTTAGTTTTTAACAGAAAGTCCAGTCAGCGTTAATGTGGCACATGATGTGGAATTTTAATTTATTTAATAAAAAATAAAAATATCATTAAATAATATTACAAAAAATCAACAAAAAAAAATATTACAAAAAAAATATAAAAAACTAAATCAAAACACCAAAAATCAAAATAAAAACTTCATCTCCCTCATTGCTCTCCTCCCGGCGCTAGATCTACAACGCATGCTTGTTCAACCATGGTGGAGCAGAGGAAGGGATGAGGTAGATTCCGGGTTGCTGGCTCGTCGACAGGGAAGCTGGACACCCCAACCGCCTGCCTCTCAGTTTCCAGTCACAAGATAAGATCTCTTCTATGCAGGCACCTCTCTCTTCCATATCTGTAGCGACTCGAGGAGGGACGGTGGCGATGGATCTCTACCGCCTGTGATTGGAGAAACGACGAAAGAAGCTGAATTGCCCAGCCATTGGAGCGACTCGAGGAGGGACGGTGGCGATGGATCTGGACCGAGAGAGAGAAAGCAACGGCGGGCGGCAGCGGTGGTGGGAAGACGATCTAATTCCCTAATATCGATTCCCAGAAAACCAAATTCTACAGCAGTCAGAGCCGGATCTGCTTCCCCGCCCTTCCCCTCAATTACCAAAGAGGAACCAAATCGACGGCGCCTGGAATCAAATTCGTAAACACAACGAAACCCTTTCCGGAAAAGGAGCCAAAAGGAAAGGAAGCAAGTAGCTTGAGAATTCAATGTGGGAGCAGAGACGGAGGACAAAATCCTTGGGCGCAAAATGGTGGTGCGGGGAGGGTTGATGCTTCCGACCGCCGGGGTAATTACTCAGTGGAGACCCTGATTCAGGTATGGCGTTGGCCGTCACCGAATAAAGATTCGAAACCTATTAACAGCGGATCACTTTGCTAGCGTCGTTTTAGGTTTCTTGTTCTGGCTTCGTGGTTCTTGTTCGTCGTTCTGGTTCTGTGTTTTAGGTTCATCTTTCTGGTTCAGTTGATTTGTTCTGGGTTTCTCGTTCTTGTTCGTTGATTTGTTCTGGGTTAGTCGATCTATTTTTGCAGAGGAATCGGCTTGGAGATTTTTTAGAGAAAGAGACGGCGAATCGGTAGGGAAGAAGAATAATGAGATTTTTATTTTTTTAAAATTTTGGCTTAATAATATAATTGAATTTACATTTTTTTAAGGCCTAATACCAGAAAAGGGCCTAAAGTTTAGGCTTTCTGTCACTTGTACCCCTATGTTTATCTCACGTCAGTTATGTCCCAACGTTTAGTTTCCGTTAACTTTGACCGTTAGTAGTCAATAGTCAAAATATTGACCGACGATGTGGCAATTTTTTGCCACGTCACTTAATATAAAGTAAATAAAACAGTAAAAAAATAAAACAATAAAGAAAATAAAAAGGGAGATATCTCCTTCCCTTTACCTTCTTCTTCCATCCCCTTTTGACCGCCGCTTCGTTCTCCCTAGCTCCATCAACTCCAAACATCCCCAAATCCGGGCTTCTTCCATCCCCTGGTTCTTGAAACCAATTACTAGCAGTAGAGCACACAAAATCCCTCTTTGCCCAAAGCATATCTGATTTGGATTCTTCCTGAAAGAATCGAAGAAACTTGCATGCCAGATTCGAAGGATTCTCCTCAATCTAAACTGAAAGAAAGAGATAGAGGATCCTGGTAAGTCATCAGGGCGACGAAAGGGAACTGTTTGAGCTTTGTTGTCTGGCTAAACAACGACGGCGTGGAGAGGTGAGCAAAGACGATGAGGCGGGCAAAGGGATAGATATGAAACAGGGAGTCACAACAAAGGCGACGGAGAGAGACGTGGCCCAGAGTCGACGACAGCTCATAGCTTCGCGATGGGTTCGTGCTTGCTGTAGAACACGAAATTGGATGAGCATAACCCGGTTTGTGGTTCGATGGGGCATTATGCGACGGCAGCATTGAAGGCCTGATTCTTTTTTGTTTGGTTTAGCAGGAGGGGGTTCTGGTCGTGGTTGTCGCGTTTGACAAGATGAAGTGGGCGAGAGTCGGGCAGGGAGTAACGACATCGCCGAGACGGTTGAGGAGGGTCGGAGTGACGTAGATCCTGGACTTAACGAGGGCGACGCCGGCGAGATAGATAGAAAGGATTTATGTGGTGTGGGTGAGAAATATTTTTATTTTTTAATTAAATTATAAAACATATTATTTTCTGACATGTCCATGATATGGCAGACACATAGGCACAAAGTCAACAAAATGTTGACTGTCGTTTGGTTGACCGTCAAATTTAACAGTCAATGAAATGAAAGAGGACATAATTGACAACGGGCTTTAAACTTTGGGACATAACTGACGTGAGATAAACATAGGGGTACAAGTGACAGAAAGCCTAAACTTTAGGCCCTTTTCTGGTATTAGGCCTTTTTTTAATTTTAACTCAATTTTATTTAATTTGAATTAAAAAATTGCCAACGTGGCGTCTATGTGGCAGCCACATCTTTTGCCATGTCAACAAAAAGTCAACTTTGCGTTGACCACCGTTGGTCAACCGTTATCTTTAACGGTCAACGAAATTGACAGGATACAAATGACACAAAGTATCATAGTTGAGGACATGAAAGGAATATTGAATACAATAGGACACAAGTGGCATTTTTGCGATAGTTCGGGTGTTGTAGTGGTATTAGCCCTTTCATTTAAAGACTGTGATTTATTAAGCCAAAGCCGTGTGATTGCCTGGGGATATGAAAACTGCTCTTTACTTCTCACGGGGCATGTCACGGTCGTGAGAATCCGAGAATGAACCGTGAGCACTGTTTAATGAAAGTTGCGTGTCTTGGGTAAATTTTATATATGCCAATGGCGGATTTCATGGTTAATTAGTATACCCAGGTATTCAGTGGGGGGTTTTCAGTTCTTCTGGTAGTTGGAACTTGATATCGAGGCAAGTGTGCTTGTGAGCTGTGGTATAGTCTTTCATTTTTTCAATATTGATACAAGCCATATAATGAAAATCAGGATTGAAGTCACTACCTAGAGAATGTGTTTACCTAATAATTGAATGATCCTTTTCTTGAATGAAACTTTGTCATAACTACGTTTTCTAGAATGTGTTTACCTTTGAAAGTTGCTTCTTTTAGATCAGTGGAGGACGACTCTGGCTTTGTGTATTTTGTTTGTACTCTTGGGCATGCTTATAATTCGTGTTTCAAGGCATGCTTATAATTTTGTTGTTGTTTTAGTTTTGCAGTTTGTTAAAATTGTGGGTGGGGGGGGGGGGGTAGCAACATAATTTGCTACTCTATGTCCAAGTCTTGTTGTCTTTTACAGGGATGATTTTCTGGTTTCGTTCAAGGTTTTTGCAACTATCCCTCTTTTTCTTGTTGGTGTAATGTTGCCCAAGTTTGTAGGGATATCAATTGAATTTTTCAATGTCAAAGCTTGTTGGGGTTGAAGGAGATCAGAGTTGGGAAAAGGAAGTATTCTATTTTGCTTATCTCATGAAAAGATGTCACGGTTGTGAAATTTCCAGAATTAGTCGTGATAATGTTTAGTGGAATCTGGGTGTTTTTAGTTTCATGGTTTCATTTAAAGACTGTGATTTATTAAGCCAAAGCCGTGTGATTGCCTGGGGATATGAAAACTGCTCTTTACTTCTCACGGGGCATGTCACGGTCGTGAGAATCCGAGAATGAACCGTGAGCACTGTTTAATGAAAGTTGTGTGTCTTGCGTAAATTTTATATATGTCAATGGCGGATTTCATGGTTAATTAGTATACCCAGGTATTCAGTGGGGGGTTTTCAGTTCTTCTGGTAGTTGGAACTTGATATCGAGGCAAGTGTGCTTGTGAGCTATGGTATAGTCTTTCATTTTTTCAATATTGATACAAGCCATATAATGAAAATCAGGATTGAAGTCACTACCTAGAGAATGTGTTTACCTAATAATTGAATGATCCTTTTCTTGAATGAAACTTTGTCATAACTACGTTTTCTAGAATGTGTTTACCTTTGAAAGTTGCTTCTTTTAGATCAGTGGAGGACGACTCTGGCTTTGTGTATTTTGTTTGTACTCTTGGGCATGCTTATAATTCGTGTTTCAAGGCATGCTTATAATTTTGTTGTTGTTTTAGTTTTGCAGTTTGTTAAAATTGTGGGTGGGGGGGGGGGGGGTAGCAACATAATTTGCTACTCTATGTCCAAGTCTTGTTGTCTTTTACAGGGATGATTTTCTGGTTTCGTTCAAGGTTTTTGCAACTATCCCTCTTTTTCTTGTTGGTGTAATGTTGCCCAAGTTTGTAGGGATATCAATTGAATTTTTCAATGTCAAAGCTTGTTGGGGTTGAAGGAGATCAGAGTTGGGAAAAGGAAGTATTCTATTTTGCTTATCTCATGAAAAGATGTCACGGTTGTGAAATTTCCAGAATTAGTCGTGATAATGTTTAGTGGAATCTGGGTGTTTTTAGTTTCATGGTTTCATTTAAAGACTGTGATTTATTAAGCCAAAGCCGTGTGATTGCCTGGGGATATGAAAACTGCTCTTTACTTCTCACGGGGCATGTCACGGTCGTGAGAATCCGAGAATGAACCGTGAGCACTGTTTAATGAAAGTTGTGTGTCTTGGGTAAATTTTATATATGTCAATGGCGGATTTCATGGTTAATTAGTATACCCAGGTATTCAGTGGGGGGTTTTCAGTTCTTCTGGTAGTTGGAACTTGATATCGAGGCAAGTGTGCTTGTGAGCTATGGTATAGTCTTTCATTTTTTCAATATTGATACAAGCCATATAATGAAAATCAGGATTGAAGTCTCTACCTAGAGAATGTGTTTACCTAATAATTGAATGATCCTTTTCTTGAATGAAACTTTGTCATAACTACGTTTTCTAGAATGTGTTTACCTTTGAAAGTTGCTTCTTTTAGATCAGTGGAGGACGACTCTGGCTTTGTGTATTTTGTTTGTACTCTTGGGCATGCTTATAATTCGTGTTTCAATGCATGCTTATAATTTTGTTGTTGTTTTAGTTTTGCAGTTTGTTAAAATTGTGGGTGGGGGGGGGGGGGGGTAGCAACATAATTTGCTACTCTATGTCCAAGTCTTGTTGTCTTTTACAGGGATGATTTTCTGGTTTCGTTCAAGGTTTTTGCAACTATCCCTCTTATTCTTGTTGGTGTTATGTTGCCCAAGTTTGTAGGGATATCAATTGAATTTTTCAATGTCAAAGCTTGTTGGGGTTGAAGGAGATCAGAGTTGGGAAAAGGAAGTATTCTATTTTGCTTATCTCATGAAAAGATGTCACGGTTGTGAAATTTCCAGAATTAGTCGTGATAATGTTTAGTGGAATCTGGGTGTTTTTAGTTTTATAGTTTCATTTAAAGACTGTGATTTATTAAGCCAAAGCCGTGTGATTGCCTGGGGATATGAAACTGCTCTTTACTTCTCACGGGGCATGTCACGGTCGTGAGAATCCGAGAATGAACCGTGAGAACTGTTTAATGAAAGTTGTGTGTCTTGGGTAAATTTTATATATGCCAATGGCGGATTTCATGGTTAATTAGTATACCCAGGTATTCAGTGGGGGGTTTTCAGTTCTTCTGGTAGTTGGAACTTGATATCGAGGCAAGTGTGCTTGTGAGCTGTGGTATAGTCTTTCATTTTTTCAATATTGATACAAGCCATATAATGAAAATCAGGATTGAAGTCACTACCTAGAGAATGTGTTTACCTAATAATTGAATGATCCTTTTCTTGAATGAAACTTTGTCATAACTACGTTTTCTAGAATGTGTTTACCTTTGAAAGTTGCTTCTTTTAGATCAGTGGAGGACGACTCTGGCTTTGTGTATTTTGTTTGTACTCTTGGGCATGCTTATAATTCGTGTTTCAAGGCATGCTTATAATTTTGTTGTTGTTTTAGTTTTGCAGTTTGTTAAAATTGTTCTATAATGAAGACGAAGAGGCAAGACATTTTTAGCACTCGATGTTCTCCCAGGAAAGTATTCTACCTGGTCTCAAATTTAGAAGGTTGTCAATCAGAGGCCATTAAGAGATGTGGCTTTGGTCGGATTCTTGAAGTCGAGGGAAGAATATTACAACGTGAGTTGTAGGAGAAACTTTTAAAGAGCTTTAATCTGGAAGAAAGCACAATTCAGGCGTATGGGCTGAAAGTGCATATTTCGGCCAAAGATTTCCAGCGAATTATGGGTGTCCACGAGGGAGGGACGGATATCGTCTTGGATGGTGAAGAAGTGGTTGGAAGATCCGAGGAACTGAAAGAATTTAGAGTGCATTCGACTCATGACTGTGACAGACAGGTGATTTCCACAAGCTTAATGCCAAAGACGACGTTGGAGATAAAAGAGAGTAGCGATCTATTTGTTAAAACTTTTATATTGTACGTAATGGGGGTGCTATTAGTACCTACTAGAAGAGATGACATTTCGTTATCTTCGGTATACGCTGTCACCGATGTTGCAGACATTCCAAAGTAGAATTAGGCATCCTATTGCTTCAATGAATTGGTGAAATGCATCTGCGACCATAATGCTGATGGGAAAAAGTATATACCTAGTTGTTTGCTGTTTTTGAAGGTAAATAATTGCTTATCCCTACTTTCTACATATTTGTAATGGTTAAACATCATGTTGAATATAGCTTTTTTTGTAGTTAATATTCTTGGAGCATGCAAATAGTATTTTTCACACCATTGATGGAATTTTGGATTTGATGAGTTGGGGGAGCAGAGACATAGAGTTATTGTTAACGAAAGTGGTAAGACTGATAGTGCAAAATGGTATATTTGATTCTTTTGACGAGTTGGAGCATGCTAATGGTATATTTGGTTGCCTTTTAATTAATTTATAGGTTTCAAGCAATTCGGGGAAAAGATCATCCGAGGAAGTAGGTTTGAAATCACCTCCAAGGAAACGGGAAAAAAGAGACGGGAAACGGCACAAGACAGACGGGGATGAGCTGCTTCTCTGTCAGCGTATTAATGCTCGGTTTAGTACCATGGAGGCTAGATTTGACAACTTCAGTCAAGAATTTAAAGTCGCAATGGGTGATGCTGCTTCTAGAGATGAGGAGCTAATGGGTCGG